CAATTCATAAAGAGGAAGACCTTCCTAAATATTGAAATAGACCATGTTTAAGACTATTTCACCCTTACCCCCCCTCCTTTCCCACTTGCCCACCTCTGATAACTTCAGTTCTGTTCTCTCCTTTTGAAAGTTCAACAAATTATTGTAATTGTTGTATCTTTCTTTCTTTTTTATTTATTTGTGTTTTTATTAGCTCCCATTTATGAGTGAGGACATGGCAGTATTTCTCTTTCGGTGCCTGGTTAACATAATTTTCTCTAAGTTCATCCATGTTGCTGTGGGTGACAGTATTTCATTCTTTTTTGTGGTAGAGTAATGTTCCATTGTGTATATATACAACATTTTTCTTATCCAGTCATCCAATGATGGTATTTCTCTTTCGGTGCCTGGTTAACATAATTTTCTCTAAGTTCATCCATGTTGCTGTGGGTGACAGTATTTCATTCTTTTTTATGGTAGAGTAATGTTCCATTGTGTATATATACAACATTTTTCTTATCCAGTCATCCAATGATGGACATTTAGGCTGGTTCCAACTCTTGGCTATTGTAAATAGAGCTGGGAGTGCAGGTATCCCTTCAACATGATGATTTCCATTCCTCTGGGTATATACCCAGCAGTGGGATTGTTGAATCTTATAGCAGTTCTATCTGTAGTTGTTTGAAGAAACTCCATACCATTTTCCATAATGGCTATAACAATTTACAGTCCCACCAGCAGTGTAGGAGTGCTCCCCTTTCTCCATATCCTCATCAGCATTTGTTATTCTCTATCTTTTTGATAATAGCCAGTCTAACTGGGCTGAGACGATATCTCAATGTGATTTTGATAAGGGCACTAATCCTATTTTGAGGGTCCCATCTTCATGACCTCAACTAAACCTAATTACCTCCCAAATGCCCCATCTCCAGACACCATCACATTGGGGGTTAGGACTTCGATATATGAATGTTCAGTCCATAGTGAGTGTTATTATGATGGTAGGATGGTAGTAGGCCAGGGATCTAGGAAGATTCAAATCCTTCCTTGGTTAAGCAAAACAAGGCAAATAACACTATTACTAATTAAGGCTTTGAAGTCTCAAACCCCAGGGCAAAGTTCTGGTAAGCTAAACAGTTACAATTACCTAAGGTGCTGGCTTGAATGATCTACCACAGAGATAAAAGCAAACCACAGCCTGCAAGCTGAGAATGGCTTTTACACTTGAAATGGCTGGAAAAAATCAAGAGAAGAATATTTTGTGACATCTGAAAATTATATGAAATTCAAATTTCAGTGTCCCTAAATAAAGTTTTACTGGAACACAGCCACTCTCTCATTTGTTTACATGTTGTCAGTGGCTGCTTTTGTGCTACCACAACAGAATTGAGTAGTTGCAACAGAGCCTAAAATATTTACTATCTGGCCCTTTAGAGGGAAAAGTTTGCCAGTCCCTGATATACAAACAAAGCTGGCTTTGCCTGTTCCGAAATCCAAATCTTAGCTAAAAACATCATTTCAAAAGATGGAGAGCCATACTCAACAACACTAGAAGAACTGTCTCCAGAGACAGAGTATTTACCTGCAAAGCTTGGCATGAGCTGGTTTAGAGATTGTCCACTTCAAGTTTTCTAATGCCCAGGGTTGGCCGGTTACTCAGTTGGTTAGAGCACAACCCTAAGACAAACACCAAGGTCATGGGTTCAGATCCGCATCCCAGCCAGCTGCCAAAAAACAAAACAAGTTTTCTTATGACTAACCTGGCTATTCAAAGGAAAGACTGAGAAAGACAGGCAGATGGCCTTATTGGAGAATGGAAGAAGAAGAGAGAGCCACAGTCATTTGCTGATGTTTTCATCTTTTGTCGACCCTGATCAGATACAGTTTAGGGTCCTGGCATTGGGCCAATCTAGATGAAGATTTATTCACTTCTTGATTGACACTTATCCCTCCAGTCAAAGGAGAAGAGCAGAAAGGGAATTAAGAGTGGCACCCCTTTTGGAATTCAACATTAACCAATGAGAATTGGTGGCATTATTTACATTTCAGGCCACTTCCTTTGTTTCTGACCTGTTTTTGTTTTGTCTCCTGTCGCTTACTCATAAAGGTGATTTTAAAAGATGTGGACTCACTTCTCTACGTGGACACCGATGTTCTCTTTTTGAGACCTGTCGATGACATCTGGAAGCTTCTGAGACAATTTAATTCCACCCAGCTTGCAGCCATGGCCCCAGAGCATGAAATCCCGAAGATTGGCTGGTACAGCCGCTTTGCACGGCACCCTTTCTATGGCTCTGCAGGAGTTAATTCAGGAGTCATGTTAATGAATTTAACTCGAATAAGAAGTGCCCAGTTCAAGGTAACAAAGTGTTTTGGCATTGCTTATTTACAGTTTGGCAGTTAGACTTTTCAATAGTGACATTCCTGGGGTGTCAATGTGCTGATTTTAGAAATAGGTGGCCTGCAGGTGAGGATGGAAGGGGCCAGAGAAAAGTATTTGGAAAGTTATGGAGTATTTATTTGTTCAGGAAAAGCCCAGATGGCTATGGAATTTAAAGCTTCATCCAGAGTTACCATTCTGGAATATTATGTTGCATTTCTGAATTCCATAATGTCTGAACTCTGTGCATATTCAAGTCTTCAAAGACCGTGCACAATTTCTTGGAATTACCCCATGAATGTATTTACATAAGTACACAGGTATTCATACAAGGGTGTTCATGGGCTCGTCTTTTATCCTAGCAAAGAACTGGAAAGAAACTAAATGAACATCAGTATAGAACTGGTCCAAAAAAATCCTCCTACTGAAAGAATGTGTTAATCTTTAGGTGATATAATAAGAACTCTAAGAAATATGGAGTTAAAAATATATAAATACAGCACATCATGACTGAAGAGTGTGATCACTTTTATGCCTTAGAAATTTCCAGAAGAGACCATTCATTGTTAATCATGGATGCTTCTGGGAAAAGTGGGAATGGGATTTGGAGGAGAATGGAGGAAGAATGTTTTTACTTTTTTATTTTATACCTTTGTGGGCTGTTTGAATACTTAGTCTATGAATGTGTTGCTTTTATTCTAAAAATAAATATTTACTTTAAAACAAGGAAAGGTGCTTTTCCTTAAGATACTTTAATTCTGCTATCCGTATTTTGTTCCTTCACTTCACAGATAAGAAATAAGCCTAAGAAAGATTCAATTTCAGGCATGATTTTCTGAGCAGAGATTAGAGGCCCAACTACCAGTTCCTGATCCATCTAGTATCCATGTGTCCATCTGGCAAAACGACAGTCTGCGGCCCTAATTTCGCTTCATCCTATACCCTGAGGATAGCAGGACCCCTCCTCTATTTGCTACATTCCGCTGAAGGAAAGAAAACCAGTCCCTCTGCATTACTGCTCAGTGGACGAGATGTATTTGCTTTGCCTCAGCTGTTCTGATGGTTTTTCTCTTTTCCAGAACAGCATGATTCCAACAGGCTTGGCTTGGGAGGACATGTTGTACCCTCTGTACCAGAAGTACAAGAATGCCATCACGTGGGGAGACCAGGATTTATTAAATATTATTTTTTATTTCAATCCAGGTAGGTTCTCTCTCAAGAATGCCATTTGTGTGGGAGGACGCCCACCTCGTCCCACACAGCACATTCCAGTCTATTGACTGGGCTGAATTGTGCACAGAGAGCCTGTGTTCCCCTGCAAAGTTTACCCTTTCATGCGCCCCCCTGGGCATCTGACGGAGGCGGGTCCTTGTGCTACTGACACAAAAGGCCAAATGTTGGAACCTCTGTCATTGGATCCCTTTTTAGAGAACAGCTTTTAGATTTTGCCACCTCATTCTTCTAAGTATAGTCAAAATGGATGTGAGGAAAAGAAAAGAAAAAAACTTGATGTGAGGCACAAAAATAAATGAAAATATTATAATCCAGGCATGAGACCCTCTATGGTCAGAGCAAGTGCTAGATTGAAGGGAATCAGTTCTCTGGGTCCTTAGAGTTAAGTGACTTGTGCAGGGTTAAAAGAGTCTAGAATAAATACTCAGATTTTCAAACCTCTTTTTCTTTTCATCCGGGGCCAAAAAAAAAATTGTATTGTTAAGTCAATGATTTGGTGGCATGGGGGAGGGAGGGAGATGAACATTTCTGTTCTATGCTTCTGTATTAACACCTGAAGCTAATAACATTTTCTTCTTTTGTTTTGTTTTGCTTTGTTTTGTTTTCTTCTTTGCCAAATTCTTATTTAATGTCATTAAAATCAAAACCATGTTTTTTCCTTGAGAAAGATCTTTGGAGAAAACAAGCAATCCCTGCCTCATCCTTTTCAGGCCTTTCCTCTGTCTTTAAAAATCCTGAAGTAAAGACACTGTTTATAAAGACTTCAGAACTGTGATTGCATGTCACCCTTGAAGCACCTACTATGTACTTTTTTAAAAAAAAACAAAATTCTGTAATAAAACCTAATTTCAGGAGCACTTCTCTGACTTTGTTAGATGGTGTTTCCTGGTTCAATCCTCACATTTGGTTCCTAGTAAACTTTATAAAATTAAAAAAAAACAAAAGCAAACAAAAACATAATTTCATATGTATGTGGATCAAAAAGGATCAAATCCTGGGAAAGAAAAAAAGCAGATTGATAGGAGTTTCTGGGAAAGACTCCCAATACTGATTCAGTAGACAACGTCCAGGCTGTTCACTTGTGGCATGTTTTAATCAATTTCCTCTGACAGCAACAGGGAATTTAGTCTGCATCTCCTCCTTTTTCTTAAGCAGATTTCATCTTTTTTTTCTAGGTATAGATGTATTGGTTAGGACTCTTGGCTGCAAATAAAAGAACCCCGGAGTTAGTCTAAGCATAAAAGATACTTTAAAATTTTAATTTAATTTAATTTAATTTAGTGTGTGTGTGTGTGTGTGTGTGTGTGTGTGTGTGTGTGTGTGTGTGTGTGTGTGTCCGGAGTTAGTCTAAGCATAAAAGATACTTTAAAATTTTAATTTAATTTAATTTAATTTATTGTGTGTGTGTGTGTGTGTGTGTGTGTGTGTGTGTGTGTGTGTGTGTGTGTGTGT